TTTTTAAAAAAAAAAAAAAAAAAACCTAGTTCCTCAGCCATACTAACCGTATTTCAAGTGCTTAATAGCAGGTGGCTATTGGACATCATATTGGCAATAGAAATATGAAACATTTCCGTCATAGCTGAAAGTTCTGTTGGACAGGATTGTGATAGAACAGATGGCTGTAGTTTAATGATCAACCCTTTCATAAGTTTCTCTAGCAAATTGGTTATCTTTGAATGTGTAGCAGGTGGCTATTGGACATCATATTGGCAATAGAAATATGAAACATTTCCGTCATAGCTGCAAGTTCTGTTGGACAGGATTGTGATAGAACAGATGGCTGTAGTTTAATGATCAACCCTTTCATAAGTTTCTCTAGCAAATTGGTTATCTTTGAATGTATTTTCCTGACAGTTTGCCTTTAACTTGGTCATCTCATGGCATCTCCTCCTTTCCATATAGGCTTAATGAATAAAAACTGGGAGGGGAAGCAGGTCTTGCTAGTTTCTTCTTCATAGTTCTTCCCAGACACTCAGTGGTATGAGCATGTACATCTGCTTCAACCTGTCTTCATGTCCCATTCAGAAAACATGCTGGTCTCTGGATGGACATCTGAGGCAATCCTGGTCAGGACCCAGCTACAGAATGAGAATGGAGAACCCAAATACTTTTAAATATGGTGGTCTGGCATTTTTCTGACTAGACTCAATACTGAAACCATTGCTTAGGCTAATAATGGTTTTAGCGTAAATACTTTCTGCAAAAGTGAAGAAAGCCATATGGTCCTTAAGCTAAAAGAGAATTCTAGAATTCTAATTTTTTCATCAATTAATGGAGGCTTAGATAAACTGACCTATTTAGGTTAATGGAGTCAGGTAGGCAGTTTGCTGTAGTCAGAATCTGTTTGAATTTTATTTGTATTCTGCTTTGACTTAACAGGAGCCACTTAAATTCTTTGTTCATAGGCAGCTCGTTGATCCCTGACTAGGCAGTATGCACATTACTGATTGGTAAGTCCTGTGGTCTTGATTTGCTTTTCTTGAAATGGTTTTATCTTCTCCCTCTTTATCATTCCTGCCTCCAGTATGCCTTTATCAGGCTGATGTTGGGAGTTTGGGGTAATACGTAGAATATATTTCATTATCAGTTTCTTAGCATATTCAGTTTTGTTTCCAAAGATATGCTTAATTTCTGATGTTTAATAAAGCTAAACCTGGATGATAACAAGTCATTGTGGTTTAAAAGCTTTACACTTTATTTCTTGGGGCTTGTCATGAAAGAGAAAGACGGTGATTATAAGAAATGTTGTTTTCATCTTTGTTTATGAATATGAGCTAGATAGCTATAGGGGAGTAACTTAAAATGAAATCCTTATTCCAGAGAAAAGGTATAAAACCATATTAAATTGGTAAAATCTAGTTTGAGCCATGTGAAACAGGGAGGCAGGACTAGATAAATAAGCAGTCAGGCAGTCCTATTTTCTATACTCTTAAATATACTAATCTACTTCACTG